AATGAAGGGATAAAGAAGTATGACATGACTGCCCTATGGCATACACAGGGTTTTGTATGTCTCAAAAACATTTCTGAAGCTGGGTATGGTGGTGCACTCCCATAAACCCAGAACTCTGGAGGCCTCATGATGCAGGAAGTTGCTTGTGAGTTCAAGACCAACCTGGGATGGTGAGCTCAGGGCCAGCTTGAGTGGCATAGTATGACCCTGTCTCAAAAACACACAGAGAGACAGAGACAGAAAGAGAGAGAAAGAGAGAGAGGAGAGAGAGAGAGAGAGAGAGAGAGAGAGAGAGAGAGAGAGAGATTCCTGAGAAGGGGAAGTAATCTCTAATTTATATTTTTGTTTTCTCACACTGTTTCTAAGAGTTTCAGGATTATTGGATGGATGACTTGAATCATCAAACAGCCACACTGTTTACCTTTTTGGTTCATAAACATTTTCTTGGCCAACTCACTGCATAAGTGAATGAACATAAATACTAGAGATTTGACAGTATTTTGCCCATGGTGGAACTTTTTATCTCCATTTTACCTCTATGCTATTATGTTCCAACAACTGTTTTATAAAAGGAAATAAAAACTTAGGCCGAATCAGTATTTTTTTCTCACAGTGTAGCAGGCCAGAGTTTAACCACCAGTGTGGTAGACAAGTTGTTTATCTGGTATTCTGTAACCAACAAATAATGAAAAAAAAAAAACAAATAATGAATAATTTTGGGTTCTATTCAATAACCTACTTCCACGTACTTAAAGTAAAAGTATCACCATAATTTAATCCCACAAACAGTTTATTATTTACAACTGTAGCAATAGCTATAAGAATTTACCCCAGAATATTGAGCACCACTTGACATACAGTGAGGTGAAATGAATAGCAGATACACACCAACATAATTGGTCTCATCAGAGGAAAGAAAAACTCAATTTAAAGAAATTCATCTTTTATAGTGGACAATAAATATGTCTTTTTCTTTGCTTCGGAAAGAGATATATATTAGATGATAGTAAGAATTCCGGCCTATTCTCTACAGGTAATTATAGATCTTATTTTGCAAAGACTTATGCTATTTAAATGTCCACCAAAAGAGAGTAAGAAACAATAGGCAAGTCTTTCCTTATAAGAAGTATAGAAACAAAATACATCAGTGCCGCATTTTCTTTCAACAATTCAAAAGAGTGAAATTGGCAGAAAATTTAATCTCCATATCCTTTACATAATGATAAATTCATTTCTAACATAAAAGCTCCAACCAATAATTTATAGGACCCTTGAATTGTGAACTACTGGCCAAAGCAAATTGTCAAAGCTGATACGTGTTTATTTGGTACACAGTAAAGGCTGCAAAACTTTAATTTCCATTTTGCTGAACATTAGTAAGATTCATAAAGTAGAAAACTTTGTTGAATATCTAAATGTACCAAGTATTTAGCTAAGCACTTAAAATATATCAGAGAATATAAAGGAAGAAAAATAATGAAATTATAAAGCTTACACTCTGTCAAGAGAAAAAATAATACACGCTTGAAATAGATTATATATATCAGAAGGTATCATATATGAAAGTAGAGCAAATAATATATATATATATATATATATATATATATATATAGAGAGAGAGAGAGAGAGAGAGAGAGAGAGAGTCTTATCATGTGGTCTTCTATATTTTAAATCATCGATTCATATATCTGTATAACATTTAAATATTTGCAGTTTTCCTTGAAAACTTTATTTATTTTACTTTTATTAACAATTGAAGTTTGTACCATACTCTATATTTACCCATTATGTGTAGGATAATTTTGAAAATAAATGTTCCATGTTTCATTTAAAGAAATTTAACAAAATTTCATTAATTATCTAAATTTTGTGTTTTAAATATTTTCCAATTTTTGAAAAAAATGTACATTCTCAATCTGTAACATTTTTGTTACTCTCAATGCTTCAATGCTAATTTAAATAACATTTTACTATTTTCAGAACATAAGAAAGCTAATTACTACCATATAATTTGTGAAATTTCTCTTTTTATTATTGCAATAATTACATACACAGAAACACAGAACTGAAAGGAGTTATTCAAGTGGTCGTGGGGAGCAAGGACTTAGACTACTAGCCAGCAAATTAGAACATGAATGGAATTTGGCTTTTACAATTAATATGGTGAGAAAATATTCACCTATCTATCCAGGAAGGAGGATGCAATGTCTTATATTTTAATTGAGTTACTTCAGAAATGTAATGGGTAGTGTACATAGGAAGCAAAGGTAGAAACAAAAGACAAAAATGTACATGTGAAATAGATACTAGTTTTAAACTCAAAGAGACATACACACATAAACCTCTATTTGGCCCAAACATATTAATTTTTTTCTCTCGTACAGATAACAATTATTTCATTTTCTTATCCTTATTCAAAACTCAAGTTCTCAGTGCCAGGTTTATTGAAAACATTGCCTCTCTATAATCAGGCTTTTTTTCAAATTCCATTTCCAGTTCCTTTTTGTTTTTTCTTTCTAATCATTGTTACTATTGAAATATTGCATATTTACAGCTCTTGGTCTACCTCCTATCTTCTCTATTAAAGTGTAAACACCATGAGAATAGTATCTTTTTGAGCCTGCACCACTAGTAACTGTACTTATGAGAACTCTGGGAGAAGCGCCTATGCAAAGTATTTGAGGGATGAATCAGAAGAAAATGAATTTAAAAAGTGAATGGACTCAAAGAAAGAATTAAGACAGATGTCTCTGGGACTAGCCTAAAAATCACAAATGAAAATGCCTCTAGGACCAACAATGTCTTTTATTAGCTTAACTCAAAACAGAGGAATGGGCAACTGGGGAGTTCATTCAGACCCTAAAAGGGGCTGAGTCAAACTTCTGACCCAGATTATTACAGCATTGCTAGAACATTGATACAAATCAATTGTTTTCTGCTTGTTTGTTTTGATTTTTTTATTGCTTTAATTTTTTTTGTCAGGTCAGCCAACCCTTAGGGTGGGTGGGGCTGATGCAGCACGTGGTGGATGGAATTGAATTGCACTCCCCTGTGCATGTCTAACCTTGCCTAAGCAGGTGCTTTACACTTCTGAGCTACCTTGCTGGACCCTGATTTTAATTTCTTTTCTAGCTTTTGATTTTGAAGAGAAGCCAGAAACAGATTCATATCATGCGAATTCTACCAGAGTACAAAATGCCTGATTTACAATAGAAAACAGTTAAAACTCAAAGGCCAAATATGACATGAAAACAGTTAAAAGTTGATCCCTGTGGGCCTGCAGGTGTTGACTGGGCAAAATTATGTGACATACCAAAGAAAATAATTTCTGTGATGTTGAGGTGGACTTGCTTTATGTAATTCTTGAATACAAAGTTCATAAATCAATGGATGAAAGTTGGCTCAATGTTAAGTGGAGAAAATGAACTGGGTTTAATACCTTCTTTAAACTCCTGGAAGGTCCTAGACCACTGCTGCAACACCTAATATGCAAGAAGTCAGAGCAGCCTAGGCAAAAGCAATCTACTGGGAATTTCTATTTGGGAACAGAGGTATAGTTTCATACTGGGTGGGTCACAGGATCAAGAGAAGGGATTTTTGATAAGGATCTCAGGAGAGTTCTGTAATGAAAGAAAGGAAAAATGAACTTAGAGCCATGCACTGGACACCACAGTTCTGAGGGACTTTATTGGGGTTGGCTCTCTTTTGTCCACTAACCACAATACCTCCATGTAGCAAACAGTCAAACTAATTACTTACACAAAGTCACATTTCGCAGCCCAACTTTCATGGCAACTACATCACCTGGAAAAAAAAATTGTACACATTTTCAATACAGGTCCCCATGAGTTTGTGGGGAATCTACACTGTCCAGGAATTAACAGTGGAATGTTAGTAGCCATAGGCTTTGGAGATTGGGGGGGTCAAAAGAGAAAGGGGCTCCTAGTGTCAAGAGTTCCTTTGATGGAGCATTGATTGGAGAAAAATGAGGTTTCAGGAAGATAACGAAAGAAGCATAGACCATCAAGTATACCTCATGCCTGGGATAGACATTAGGCCCAATCATCTGATGCCCCAGCAGGAGGAAGACCAGATATGGGACTACTGTACCTGGCTGCAGCAACGTTCCATTTTTCTGGATAGCATACTCTCCCACAGCCCAGTTTATGGAGCACTGTGTAGTGAGTTTGGGCTGAGAATTGAGCTTCTGCTCCGCAGGTGTGGCACAAACTCGCTGAAACAACAAAAGCCTCATAGGTATAAACATGGCTCCTGCTTAACTCATCTGCATCATCCGCATCAAAATATTCTTCTACAGAAACTTTCACTGCATATGCTTTTTTAAATAGTACACCCTTTCTTTGTGCATGAAGCCAGGGAGGTCAACGTGCATACTGCTAGCATTCCAACTGATTTCTGGGACTGCCCATTCCTTATGAACACCAAACACCACACCTCTTTTTACTGGGATCTCATTTCCTCAGTCAGTCTTTCTTTTTACAATTTTTCTTCCTTCAACATCTCTTCTTTTCTGGCCAGATACTCATGACAGACCAGTATCTCTTTCCAGATACCTACCAACTACATCTTTCTCCCCTTACTCTGGACCTTTTATAAGAACCTTTTGGCCCTCTCCACTCAATTTGTTGTGCTTTCTGCCAAGTCCCAAGATCTCACTCCTTGTTATTCTTCACTCCTTTCCCAGCTGAATGTTTTACCTTCCAGGTCATCCCTCTTCCAATGGGGATCCCTCTCCTATCCCTTTTCCGTTTTCTTAAAGAGTAACACTTTACTCTCCTTTCCCCTATAGCCCATCAGTACTCTTTTCCCTCCCCCCTTATACCAGGCCAAAAAAATCCCATGTCCTTGTCAGATAAATGATAGCTGTTTAGATTTATTTTAATTACAGGCTGAAGTGACAGCTGTTCCTTCTTTTCATGCCCCATTCACCAAACACACCCAATCGTTTCAAGAGAAAGTGCCTGAAACAGCATGTCACATCCACATAAATTTGTATTTTATCAGAACAAAACAACAATTTTACTGCTCATCAAAGATCCTTAAACTTTCAATACAGGGAAAAAGCAGCAATTTTTGGTGTGTCTACAAATTATGGATTTATGTCCAAAAATGTGGTAAATTTTACCTCAGTGTTTAGGACTTTTTCACCAAATCATAGACATAGATATGGAAATCATCATCAAACTTGATGAAATACACAGAAGGTTTGGCTTCGACTTGGTGAATGACCATGCCGATCCTTTTGGAGCCATCTTCTTTGGTATATTCCACATGTTTGCCTATCAGACCATCTACAACCCCTCCTGGCTCCCTCTCTGCTGGAGGAGACTCACTGGATTCTGGCATGATGCGGAGGTCACCTTCTTTATAGTCATCTAGAAGCTGGTACATGTATAACACTGGATCTTTCTCGTAGGTAATATAAAACCAGGCTTTCATGATAGGTGCTTGGGCTAGAACCATCCCCCTCCATTCATCCTTGGTGCCATGCTCACCCTCAAACATATGTTCCACTGCTTTGCCAATTATGGTATTTGCAAGGTTGGCGTCACTAACCTGTGAGGATGCCACCTTGTTGGAAAGAATTTTAAGAGATAAAACTCTTTCATCTCTATGAAGTTCCAATCCATAGACACAGTCAATTCCATCATATTTCACTAGATAAAGAGAGGGATTTATAGGCACCTGATCCAGAACGGTTCCTTTCCACTGGGTGATGGGCTCATCTCCTTCCTTCCATCCGTGAGAAATCCTGCAGCCCACGATGTTTCTGCGGGGCTGGGATGAAGGTCTGCCCCTCTGCTTCTTCTGGGAATTTTTCTTCTTTGTGAAGTTTGCAGACACAGTGGCCCGTCCTGCAGCTGATCTAGTTTGTTGTCCTTCTGCCTCCTGTGCACTGGGGGTCTTCATGCCTGCAAAGACAGGGAGAGAGGATACAGATACAGGCTCACTCAGTAAGTCATAAGGAGAACTTTCCCTTGGAGTGATGTCTGTTTACCCTTGTGCTGGAGTCTAATACTGTATTTCCTCTGCAGTCTGCCACCAATGTTAGAAATACTGGTAAATACTGACTGTTGTGCTCTTTCTCTTTTCTCTCTCTCTCTCTCTCTCTCTCTCTCTCTCTCTCTCTCTCTCTCTCTCTCTTTCGTCTTCCTTCCCCCTCTGTCCTCCCCTCTTTCTGTCCTTTCCTCCGTCTCTTCTACCCTTGAAGCTGGAGGGAAGGGCTTTAGTGGAGGTGGTGCTGAGTGTGATGAGGGACTGTGCTGAATTAAAAAAGCAAATTCCTCTTTACTCATTAACCAATTGCCTCTCCCTGACCTGCCCCTGGTGCCCACCTCAGATCTTCTGCAAACACATATATTTCCACCTTGTCAAAGCTCCAAGCTCCTCCTGCATGAGTGTCCCCCAAGGCTCACAGGGCACTTGCTTACTCCAGCTGCTCCCCTGGGACCCACCTCCCTTGCTTCTCTGTGCTTATATTCAAATCCTGGCTGGGTTTCTAAAGCCACTCCTATTTCTGTTGCCTGCAACAGTCCTCCACCCCACTCAAGCCTGGCGTCCACCCCTACCCTTTATCTCCAGTCTGATACCAGCCCATCCCCCATATTCTTCCTGGTCCCCGCCAATGGTCTTGCCCTGCTGGGAGTCCACCGCGGGGGGTTCGCAAGCCTCAAGTGCCCAAATCAGACACCTTGATGCTGCCTCTGCTGAGAGCCTGTTGCAAAGGAGGATCAGCGGGCTACTGTCCAGCAGAATGTGTGCTTGCCAGAGCTGAGAGGGGAGGATTCCTAGGCGAGGAGAGGGTCTAGTAGGACGGCGGGGCTTTGTAATAGAGGATGATTCCCTGGTGCTAAGCTTGTGGGGGCGTCCGTCTTCCTCTTCTTGCAGCGGCCCCTCTGCCACCTTGGGCTTCCACTAGCCTCTGCTGTCGCCGCAGTCTCCTCCCTCTTCCCGTAGCGCAGCTTCCTGCGAGTAGAGAGGCCTCCCCTTCCTGCCAAACACCCCCACCCCCACCGCAGTTCCTTTACCAGCCGGTGCTGGCATGCCTGGAGGAACAATTAGACCTGGCTCCACCTCTTTCCAAAAACTATTTCAGTGCAACCCATTACTTGCCAGTTAAGGTTTGGCCTCCCTCCTTTTCTATCCGAAAGCTCTTAATTCCACCTCCACTTCTGCCCTGTCACGGCTGTTTCCCTTGCGCTTTCAATCTACCAAGAATTAGTCTTTTCTCTTTTTAGTAATGCTCTTGTGGATTTAGTCTTTGTACTTAAAATGCCTTTCCTCATCACTTAAAAGAGCTTCTGAAAGAAATGCGCTGGTGTCTAGTCTGCCTTTTGACCTAGTTTCTAGCTAATTTTTCTTGAATGAACTGTTCTGGCCTGCTGTGCTTTGGATACAATTTTTTGTGCTTTTTCCTCTCTCTCTCTCTCTCTCTCTCTCTCTCTCTCTCTCTCTCTCTCTCTCTTTTTACTGTGCTAAAAAATGATCAACTGCACAATGTGAACAATTTCAAAAGTTCAGGAAATTGACCTGAAAGCAGAATATAATCAGCTTTATGGCTTTTCAATCTTTCCACTCTCTTAACCTCATAGCAAAACAATAATATCAATTGTTCCCTATCTCCAATCTTTTATAAAGCTAAGACTGTCTTTCTTATGCAGTTTCTTACTATGCCGGTTTCCTTGTATAAAAATGTGTTTTTTCATGACATGTACCTTTTGAAGCAGTCCTTTCTTCCCCATTGTGCAAATATTTATTGAGCAAATATTATTGAATATTTATGCTCTTAGGTTGATAAAATTTAATTTTACTATGGCTCATAATTTTGCTTCTCTCTTTTTACTTGATACCAATATATTATTTCATCTATTTATTGTTATGTGAACCTCCACAGAAATAACTTTATAAGAACTAGGAACAGTAGTTTTATAAATCTTGATAAAGCATGTTCTTTAAGGAATATTGGATTAATTTCTTAAAAAATTAGGGACATTTTGCACTAAATGTGATCCCATGTCACTATTTGATTTATTAAAATGTAAAATAGGGCAAAATAAATCAGATCCAAAGGCAAAGAAGCTAACCAGAAATCCAGTACAAAAAAAAAAGAGTATTTAATATATCATTATGGTCTCTGAATTAAAGAATAACTTGAAAGATTAGAGAATATTTAGGATTAAGACAATTTCGTAGGATGTAAAATCAGTAGTATGGGGCTGAGGAGTTTGCTCAATAGCATAACATCCTGTCTGTCAAGCACAAGGTCACAAGTTTGATCACTTGTATCACAAATAAAAAGAAAATCAGTAGTAATTTTGACACAACATAATATGCAATTCATATTATTTTCAATGACATTGAGCATAAGAAAAGAGCTTATATCTACTGATAATTGGAATAAATCTTCATACAATTTTTATGGGAAGCAATGAGCATGTCTAGTACAATTTTTTGAGGTTTGTCAAATCATGGTTAACCCTTTTATCTGGAATATTGCCATAGAAATCTTCCTATACAAAATGAAGGGGTTTACCAGGGCCATAGGCTACAGTTACAATGTCAGTAGCTTGAAAAATGGTCAGAAACTCTGCTAAACTTCTTTCACAAGTTCTCTGTAAAAAAATAGTTTCTTCTTAAATACAAGTGAATTTCATTTCATATTCACTTCTTACACATGTGCACTCCCTTTGTATTACATGAGTAATTTCTTAGATTTTTCAGTGCTTTTGAGTGATTATTTTTAGGGATTTAAAAAATATTTTTGTCCAGAATTTACAGATTTCTTCACAGGAATATTGGATTGAATTTTTTTAGTCTTCTATTAAAAACAATCTCCAACTGCACTGTTTATATTAAATGTGTATGGTCATAACAAGATTGTTTATATTAAATTTATATTACTATCTGTAGGACTTCTATACTTTCATAAAGAGGTTAAAAATTTTTTAAATAGTTTCAACTATTTGAAATACCTCCAAACCAAGAATCACCCTATCTTCCATTAAAAGTATATTGCATATGTTGCTATCTATTTATATATTGGTATATCACACAGAAGTGAGAATGATTAGGTTACAAAACGAAAGTCTTACAAATAAATTGAACAATCAACTCAGAAAACAAAGGAGACACACTATGATTTATTTAAAATTAAAATAGCCTAACTAATCCACAGCCTTGAAAGATAAAATAGTATTCATTCTTGCAAGATACTTTCCAAATGTATGATAACAATTCATATTCTACCAACAGTTCACAAAATTAAATATAGAAGACAATGTGACAGTGTAGGGCAGGAAGGTTATACAGATGTTAATCTGTGAAATATTTTGAATTGTAGCAGATACAGTGATAATTGCAGTGAAGCATCCAGTTACACTTCTGGTAATAATACCAGAAATTTCCTTTGAAGAACAACCTAAGTCTGACTAGTCACAGCATACAATTATTGTCACAATGATTGTTTTAATTAGAGACAGTCAACTTAGAGTCAGTGAGGCATGATTATATTATGCATGAAAGATGAAACTTTCAGGCATGAAACAGGTGATCTTTCACACTGGATGTGAGTGAACTTGAGAAGATATGAGAATTAAGTTGGTCTGGTCACTTTATAATCATTTGAAGACTGAGAACAAAAGCACTGCAGAGAAAAGAATGGAGAGAAGTCAAACAGAAAAAAGAAAGAAAGAAAGAAAGAAAGAAAGAAAGAAAGAAAGAAAGAAAGAAA